AAAAAAAAAAAAAAAAAAAAAGCTAATAGGCTCAAGAATATCAGAATTATGCCAAAATTCGCAATCTCGAAACCAATATTCCAAATTTTAGAAGATAAAATAGACTTACTGAAAAACTAAGAAAACATTAAGCACCTGAACCAAGGTCTGTGGAGCCCAACATTAGACAAGGCACGAAAGACGCCCACGAAACACCGATAGACGCCCACGAAACACTTTCTTCTGTGAAGAAGGTGTCGCATCGTTTCCACTTCTATCAGCAGTGGCTGCGGCTGTAAAATATCAAACTAAAATCGAGGAAACAATGAAACAGAACTTAACAAAAACTAATGAAGAAGATGATTTCATTAAAACAATTCACTGCAATTCTTGTACAACATTGTGTGATATATATACATTCAGTGAGAAGGATCTAGAAGAGGAAATTCTATGCTATATTCTATACAATAAAAATAAAATAAAATGGCTATACAAACAGACTACTTAATCGTAAATGTGCTAATTCAAAAATGGTCTCCCTTTGCTCTATTAACAGGATCATATCATCTTTCATCATTCATGCCTTCATTCTCCATGTGATCTTCTTCTTGCTGATCCCTCAGAAGTTGAGCTTGGTATTTTAACATTCCCCCCAAGATGGAGAGTGGATGTTGTAAACTCCATTTTGTCCATATGTTGATAAAACTGAAATGAACTTAAGGCTTTAGTTAAAATGTCAGCAATTTGAGACTTACTACTAAGATACTTAGCAATCACACTTCCTTCTTGAATCTTATCACCTACTAGGTGGCAATCAAGCTCTATGTGTTTTGTTCTTTCATGGAAGACTAGGTTTGCTGCTATGAATAAAGTTGATTTGTTGTCACAAAACAAATTGGGTACCTGTGGATGATCAACTCTTAGGTCTTGGAAAGATACCTCAACCAGATTAATTCACTGCACACGTTTGCCATAGCCCTGTATTCTGCCTCAGCTGAGGACTTAGATATAGTCTCCTGCCTTTTGGATTTCCAAGATACTAGTGAAGACCCAATGGGGAAAAAAATCATGTTGCACTTCGTCGCGTATCTGGACATGCCCCCCAATCTGAATCACTATAAACATTAAGTTGAAGTTTTGAATCAGAAAAAAAAAACAACGCTCTCTGCCCTGGAACTCTTTTTATATATCTTAACACATTGTGTGCAGCTTTCAGGAGAGAAATGTGAGGAGTGCTCATAAATTGACTTAACAATTAAGCTGAATATGAAAGGTCAGGTCTAGTGATAGTTAAGTACAGCAATCTTCCAACGAGCCTTCTGTAAATTGCAGGATCAGGTAGAGCCTTTCCATCATCTCTAGAAATCTTTACATTCTGATCCAAAGGCTGGTGTGCATCCTATTGTTCCTGAATCGGACAAAATGTGTAAAGCATACTTTCATTGGCAAATATATATCCCAATATCAGATCCTGATACTTCTATTCCCAAGAAATATTTCAATGATCCCAGGTCTTTGATCTTAAACCTTTTGTCAAGCAACCATTTGAGGGAATTAATACTATCCAAGCTGTCACTTGTTACAATTATATCATCCACGTATACAAGAATCCCAATAGCCTTTGACTGAGTGAATCCCTGCTGAATGACAAAGGTCGATAACTTGGAGTACCACTGTCTGGACACTTGTTTAAGCTCATACAGACTTTTGATCAACCTACATACCTTTGAATCACCTGCATTAGGATGTCTCCATATACACTTCTTCATTTAAATCACCATTGCATTATTCACATCAAATTGATGCAAATTCTACCCTTTTACGGCTGCTATTGCAAGTAATGTTCTAACAGTTACTATCTTAGCTACAGGGGAGACCTTTTCAAGGTAATCTAGGCCCTCTTGCTGTGTATACCCATTTGCCACAAGCCGACTTTGTACCTTTCAACATTGTCATCAGTCCTATATTTTACTTTATATACCTACTTGCATCTGATAGGCTTCTTACCTTGTGGAAGATCTGTGATAGCCCAGGTGTTATTCATTTCAAGAGCGGCAATTTCAGCATTCATAGCTTCACACCTGTTAGGTGAGGAGAGGGCTTCTTGGTATGTGCTTAGTTCAGTGTATGAGGATATAGTTGTAACAAAAGCTTTATGTTTGTTAGAAAGCATGTGATATAACAAAGTAGTATTAAGAGGAAAAAGACTACCTAGGATCATTGTTCTAAAAAAGGGGAAAAATCGCCGCCTAGGCGCGACGCACGACCAAAACGAGTCGAATTCGGGAAATGCGGGAAAAATGCGTTTTTCAACTAAAAGGCACGTATAATGCGCGCCTAGGCACGCATTAGTCCACCTAATCCTTTTTTTTTTTTTTTTTTAAATCTTTTTTTTTTTTTATGATATATTAAAAAATCTATTTTTTTATATAAAAATATATTTAATGCCTTAAAAATACGAAACGTATTATGACGCTTATTCTTCGCATTGACACGCCTAAACTTGTGATTCTTGATTCTCGGCCTCGACGCTTCGCAACGCATTACGCATTTTAGAACACTGCCTGGGATGATGAGGCTCTTTTGCTCATCTAACTTCTGTGATGAGAGAAGTGAGGCTTTACTGACAGACGTAGTCTTCCAGGTAATCAGGAGTTTTCCTGGTTCTTGAAGATCTACGAGCTAGGGGATGGTCGTTTATGATGTTGCGAGATAATTCCGATTCTTGCTCTTGAGGTTCTGGGAAGGGTAATCTTGTGGAATGGTTATCTATCTCATGAATTGAAGTGGTGCTAGCAGGGTTGGTTTCTGAATCCATTGCTTCCATTTGGTTAAAAATAGTTGTATGAGGGATGCAGGCACGAATTTCTGTGTTGATAGGATCAGATTGCACTGGTTTTGTTCCTTTAGATGCACTGCTACTTTTGTAAGGAAAGTTTTCTTCATAGAACACAACATTCCTTGAAATAAACACTTTCTTGGTTTCTAGATCGAGGAGTTTATATCCTTTTATTCCAAAGGGGTAGCCCAAGAATATGCACCTTTTGACTCTTGGTTCAAACTTCCCTCTATGATTAGTCAAGGTTGAGGCAGAGGCAAGACAACCAAAAACCTTAAGGTGTGCATAATATGGTCTATGTTTGAAAATGTTTTCAAAAGGTGTTTTGTTGTTTAACGAGTAAAGGTGTCCTATTTGTAAGATATATTGCAGTAAGGATGCAATCACTCCAGTATTTCATAGGAATGACACTTTGAATCCTCAAAGCTCTTATAACATTAAGGATGTGCTGGTGTTTCCTTTCAACTATTGCATTTTGCTGTGGTTTTTCAACACAGCTTTTCTGGTGAATGATCCCTCTTTTATAATAGTAATCTTTCATTTCAAATTCTTCCCCATTATCAGTCCTAATGATTTTTATTTGTGATTGGAATTGAGTATTTATCAAAGCACAAAAACCTTGTAAAGCAGTAGTGGCATCTGATTTATTCTCAACATATAAACCCATATACATTTTGTAAAATCATCTACTATAGATAGAAAATATCTGGATCCATCATAGCTAACTTCACTACAAGGACCCCATATATCACAATGTATGAGATCAAATTTGTTTTTGGATTTGTGATGACTGATAGGAAAAGGTAATTTATGCATTTTGGCAATATGACATATAGAACATGGTTCTTTTGCAGATTTAGAAACATCATTAATACATATTAAATCTAATCTAGAATTGGAAAGATGACCCAGCCTGTAGTACCAGAGATCAAGTATCTCAGTCTTGGAAGAAATGGCACCTAACATAGAGGATTTATTTGGAATAAAGGAAAAAGCTTATGTTAAAGCTGAAGGAGAGACTTGGCATTGTAGCAAATGGTATAAACATTGCCTCACTTCATCCATTCCAATCGTTTTCCAAGTCAAAAGGTCTAGATGAAGCAATTTTCAAAGAAGAATATAAGGCAACATTTAGATATTTGTGCTAATTTCCTAGCAGATATCAAGTTAAAGATGAAGGATGGAACACAAAGAACATTATGCAATATCAAGTGGTATGTGATTTTTACAGTCCCTATGTGAGTGACCTTAGCCAAGTCACCATTTGGAAGAAGGACTGAATAATCCACTTTAGCTTGAATGAAACCGAGGAAGGAAGTGCAGTAGACCATGTGGTATGTTGCTCCTGTGTCAATTATCCATGGCACAATTTTGTTCCCATATGCACATAGGTAAAGAGATATACCAGAATGTTTTGGAATATGTGTGTCTGCAGGGTTGATACGGTGATGCACTGAATATTTTGGGATTTGAGCAAAGCCAGAAGTTGTACATGTTGCTCTTGAGTGAATGTCACTTGACTGCTACTTCCATCACCTTCCTGTTCCTACAAGGATGCCAGATTTGTTGAGAAGTTTCTCTTTCTGTGCATCTTATGGCCCGGAGGATATCTATGTATTTTAAAACACTTGTCCACAGAATGCGCGGCATATGGCAGTGAGTGCAGATTTGTTTGTTGAGGTTAGCCTTGAAGCATCTTTCAGTTGAATGTCCAGGGACCTTGCAAAATGTACAAAAGTATTTCCTTTATGTCACTCCAATCTGTTTCACTCCATCACTGAGAGTCCCTTTGGTGATTAGTGCATTTGAATCAGGTGTGGCAATGTCTGCTGAAATCAACATTCTCTTCTCTTCTTGTTGGATTAGAGAATACACCTTATTAAGAGTGGGAAAATGCTTGATTAATAGAATTTGAGCATTGAGTGCTTTATATGAATCATTTAAACTCATTAAGAACTTCATTACCCAATCTCTTTGCTGATTTTCAACAACAGATCTCAGTCCTCCACAACTACAATTAGGAATCGATTCATAGTTCATTAATTCATCAAGAAGAGTCTTGTATTTTGAAAAATATATACTTACAGCATCCTGGTTTTGCATTAAAGTAGTAATGGCCTGTTTTACCTCATAAATTCGTAGGCCATTTTGTTGAGCCAACTCATGCTCTAAATCCAACCAAAGTTCTCGAGCTATGTCAGCATACAATGTGTAGGATTTAATATCAATAGACATGTTTGTTTTGTAACCAAGCAATCACTATATCATTGCACCTAAGCTAATATTCCATCAAGGGGCTGTTGGGATCTGCTGGCTCAGATAAACTCCCATCAATGAAGCATTGTTTATTTTTGATTCGAAGTGTGCTCTTCATAGATCTTGCCCAAACATAATAGTCGGTGCTAGTAAGTATGTGAGTAACCAGAATCGCCCCAGAACTATCATTTCAACCAATGTAGTGAGGGTTGCAGGGATCATTAGGATTTGTATCAGGATGGTTGTTTGCTATTGGATTTGTGTTGGCATTTTGATTGTCATTTTGAGTTGAATTTGGATTTGGATTTGTGATACCTATTGTAGTGCTATGAACATCAGCCATAGCATAGCTCTGATACCATGTAAAATATAAAACTAAAATGGAGGAAACAATGAAGTAGAACTTAACAAAAGCTAATGAAGAAGATGATTTCATTAAAACAATTCACTGCAATTCTTGTACATCATTGTGTAATATATACATTCAATGAGAAGGATCTAGAAGGGGAAATTTTATACTATATTCTATACAAAAAAAAGGATATACAAACAGAATACATAACCGTAAATGTGGTAACACAAAAATGGTCCCCTTTGCTCTATTAACAAAATCCTATCCTCTGTCATCATTCATGCCTTCATTCTCCATGTGATCTTCTTCTTGCTGATCCTTCAGAAGTTGAGCTTAGGATTTTAACAGCGGCGGTCCCGAATGCTCGAATTTTCTAGCCATTTGAAGAGTGAGAATTGCTAGAAGTGGTGAAAGATAAGGTTGTGAGTGTTAGTAAAGAGTGATTTCTCGTTAAGGGTAACAGAAATTGGGGAGGAGATGAAGTTTTGCAAGCATTAGCTTTGAAATTGAACGCTGCATCATCATTTTGTGCTGATAACGGGCTTTATGAGTTGAAACCAAGGGTTTGCTGTTGGGGTGTTTGGGTCGGATGTGAATATCTAATCCGGTTCGAAATGAGCTAACATTTTGGTTGAGGTTAAAATTTAACAAATGTTTGAGTCCCATTTTTGGCTAATAATACATTTGAAATAATAGATTGATAGAGAATATGTGATTAAAAATAAAGTAAAATTTTAAACTTACGTGTAATATTATTTTATTGAAAAATGTGGTTGAAAAGAAAACAGAGAAATGTATTTTAGAAACAATGAGATTATACAAGGGTTTAAAATGTTAAGAAAAATTTAAAATAAAGTCATTTTACAGTTTCACCATGGAAATTTCAGTCATTTGCCTTCTAACGTGACATCAAGTGAATCGGCTCAGGGTATTTCAATACTTGAATTACCTATTTTATTTCAAGTATTTCATAAATGGATCAATTCGAGTACTCGTAATTATTGGAATCAAACTCCAATTGAATCAAGTTTTGATTCGGAATCGTGAGCTGACAATATAAATTATTTTTTTCCAATATATTACATAAATAGAATAAATTAAAATATATCACTAAATACATATTTCAACACTTTCTTAAACCAATGCAAATGTGTTACCAAATAATATCAATACCTGGCAAAATGGCATCCAATCCAGGTTGTGGCTCAATGTGCAGTACATCAAGAAAGGTTTGTGAGACGGACGACGTTTAAAGTGTGATGAAAAATGACCATGAACGAAATCGATATTATTCAATTATTTAAATGAAATAATCTTATTGATTAGGTACCTATTATTTGGCTTAACATTAGTTGAACCTTGCAAACTTATACTTGTCAGGAGGGGATCATTGGTTTAAGTTGAATAAATTTTTAAAAATAAAAAATTATAAAAATTACAAACTTGATTTTAAAGTTGGGTACGCATGATTCCGATTTAAAAACCAAGAACCGACTCGGACGTGGTCATTTTTATTATCAGTTTCGGTTCCTAAATTAATTTTTTAAACCCGAATAAAAACCTCTGGTTCCGGTTCAATTTCGATTCCAATTGAAATGCTCGCTCCTACACCTAACAATGTTTTTTTTATCTAATTGTTTTGAATAACATTAACAATGTCTAAGAGAGTCATAATTGTCTCAAATATTCACGGCCTAGAAGATGAAGAAGTTGGCAGGGGAGAGTAGTTCCGCATAATTATTTAACAAGTCAAGATCTCATTCATTGATCAAATATTCACGTTATATTGTTTTGTGAAACTTTTATCCTTTGGGAATAAAATTAGGCATCCCAAAATAATGTGTTAAATTTACTTAAAAATGAGAGTTAACATTTTACTTTTACTTAAAAGTAAGTTATATGGGCATCTCATAGAGACATATAAAAATATATTTTAAATAAAATAATGAAGAGCGGAGAATATTAATACTTTCTATTATTATTATTATTAAACTATCTTCAATGATGTTCACTAAATTTGGTGTAATTTGATTTTTTCTCTCCGAGGATTACACCAAATGTGTTGTAGATCATTGGAGACCAATTTACACTACACCAAATTTTATTTTAATTATTTTTATCAAATTTTATTTTACAAATTATATTATTACAAAATTCATTATTTATATTTAATAAAGTAAAATATTGCATTTATTAATAAATAGAAAAAGAAATTAAACATAATACCCCAAATTATTAGAATTTAAAAATAAATATTAAATAAAAACAACCATCATTATGAATCAATTAAAATCTATTAATAATAAAATATTAAATAAGGATATATGTGGAAGAAACAAGTTTTATAAATTGTGAACAATGATAAATTGGG